ACCCCCCCCCCCCCCCCAAACAACAACAACAACAACACCCCTCAAGTTGTTTCTGGGGAACCCCGCTTTTTTCCCCTTTTTTTTTTCCACGGGGCTCCGGGACCCGGGGGCCCCCCCCCAGGGGCCGCGGGCCCGGGCCTTTTGGTTCATTTCGCTCCCCCCACGCCCCGCTCCGGGGGGGGGTGACAGAGGTGTTTGTTTTTTTTTTTGGAGGAGGAGAGCGGACAAAAAAAAGGTTTCCCGGGGGGGGGGGGGGGGGTACTCATGGTCGTGCATGACGTAGTCGATAGACCGTTGACCTCGCATCCCTACAATACAAAGCCGGGACGGAGCACGCCGGGTTCTCACCGAACCAGGCTCTAACCGTGTGTGTGTGTGGACAAAAAGGAACGAAGGTCATCAAGCGTGCTTCTAGCAAGCGCATCATTACGCTTCCGATGCCTGCGAAATGATGCCCCTAGGTCCTCCGCCGAAATCCCTCCAGCGAGTCTCCGACCGTTGGTTGTGGTTCTGACCACAGATGGCAGTGGTGAGTATCGCAGGTTACCTAAGATAACATACCCCCTTGGATCGGTTTCAAAACTTTACTCTGCAGCGAAAACAAAAACGGTGACGAAAACGGCGGCGTTAGAACCGCCTCGTCGAGAGCTTTCCGAAATCGCATCAGTTCATTTCGGCACCCTCTTCTTCGCTGCAGAGAGAAGGCGAGCTTTGAAAATGGGCCCAGGGTGTGCGGAATCTCCCAATGGAATCTTCGGCGACCCATACTATCGCAACCTGCTTCAGCCAAGCGCCAACAGGTTCACAACCGAAATCACACCAAAATTGAAGTACAAGCTCGACACCACCCACCGCCTTGTCCTACGCCTGGTCCCTCGTCCAGCTCCGCCGCCGTGTCCCCCCACCCCCCGCTCCCTGGCTCCGGCCCCCTCGACGCGGCGCGAGCAGCAGCAACCACCGCCGCCGCCCCAGCTCCCCCGCTGGCCTCACCGCCGCCGCCACCGCCACCGCCGCGGTCGCCATCCCCTTCCCCCCCGTCGTCGAACAAAGACCGCAGCTTCTCCAACCTTTCCTTCTCTCGAACAGCCGCGACGGCGGCCGCGCCTTTCACACCTCCCTCCGCGCTCCCCGCCTCCGCCCCCGACGACACCCCATCCCCGTTGATCAAACCTCCCCCATTCTGCGACACAAGAGCAGCAGCAGCAGCAGCAGCACCGGCAGCACCGGCAGCACCGGCGGCCCCGCGCTCAGCTTTTCCTTCTCGGTGGTCCGACTCAACCAGAGGGGCCATGTTCCCGTCGGT